CTCATCTTCTCCTCTCTCCTTCTCTTACTCTCTCTTTTCCTTCCTCTTCTCTTCCTCTCCTCTTCTTTTTTCTTTTAACCTTGCCCTACTTTCTTAACTGTAGGGAGATTTTTAAGAAGTTTTAAAACTAAGCATCCCCAGTTGCTGGGGGCTGTCTTTGGCTGTAAGTCAGAATATAAAGCATTGACCTGTAGGGTAGAGTGTTTCATGCCAATGTGAGAACACTCAGCAGCTAGCCAGAAATTCCTCTTCTGTATGAGCATCTAATTCAGAACTTAAACATTTCTAGGTAATCCAGCACTTGGGAGGCCAAGGTGGATGGATCATCTGAGGTTCGGAGTTCGAGACCAGCCTGGCCAACATGGTAAAATTCCATCTTACTAAAAATACAACGGCGGATCACGAGGTCAGGAGATCGAGACATCCTGGCTGACACGGTGAAACCCCGTCTTTACTAAAAAATACAAAAAACTAGCCGGGCGAGGTGGCGGGCGCCTGTAGTCCCAGCTACTCGGGAGCTGAGGCAGGAGAATGGCGTGAACCCGGGAGCGGAGCTTGCAGTGAGCTGAGATCCGGCCACTGCACTCCGCCTGGGTGACGAGCGAGACTCCGTCTCAAAAAAAAAAACAAAAACAAACAAAAAAAAAAAAACTAGCCGGTGTGGTGGCAGCACTGCACCTGTAATCCCACCTACTCGGGAGGCTGAGGCAGGAGAATCGCTTGAATCCGGAAGGCAGAGGTTGCAGTGAGCGGAGATTATGCCATTGCCCTCCAGCCTGGGCAACAAGAGTGAAACTCTATCTAAAATAACAAGAAACAGCAAACAAACAAAAAATATTTCTAGTGAAGTTGTACGGGTCACTCTCTCTCACTTCTGTCTTTCTCTCTCCCCTTTCTTTCTTTCAAAAAAAAAAAAAGGTGTGTACTCATACAGCATATAGTGGGGTCTGACTTGGTCCACATACCTTGCTGTACACAGGTGTTTCAGGTGTGCTGCCCTGTGTTAAGAACTGATGGCTTGAAATTCTGAAATGACCATACTAGCTTTGGTATTAGACCCTTATGGTTCAAGGAAGGGAGTAAAAGTGTGTTCCAGTACCTGTCCTACTTCATCTTCAATTCCAAGGACCTTGAGAACCTTCCACAGGATGTTAGTAGAACAGAATGCCGAGGTGATTTGAATGCTGCCTCTATTTCTACTAAGTTTCCGCCCAGACCAAAGATAGGAAAATCTTCCCACAGAGTCTTCCATATGCACGCTTAGTAAAGAGGAAATTCAGCACCCAGATCGTGTTCAGACATATCCCCATTCGGCAGCAGCACATGCGTGCACAACAACAGCGTGCTCCGTGATCAAACATTTTACCACATGGTGTAAGCAAAAATGCATGGGCTTTAGAGTCAGACCAACGTGGGTTCAAATATCAGAGCTGCCTGATTACTGTTGGGTTCTCAGGGGGCTAGTATGTTATACCTCTCTTTTCCCCACCCTGAGCTGTTCGACAAAATTAAGAAGACACAGGAACCAGACCAAAGGAAATAAAAATATCAGCCTCATTACTGCAAAAGCTGTTTGGAAGATGTGACTGTAGATCATCAGTCACGTGAGCTTGCTACTTTATCACTCATGAAGAAGGAGACCCTTTCTGAAAGGGGCCTGCTCTGGTTAAAATGACATTATAGATAATCAAAGAATATAGCTACTTCCTGGGGCAGCTTAAATCCAAAAGAATGAGAGAGAAGGGACAAGGAAAGCTCCTCCGTTTTCTTGTTTCAAATTCACCAGGGAGGAGAGTAAGTTAAATTTGAGAAGAGAGGCCAGGAAAATAGGGAAATCTGAGCTGCGGGAGTAAAAATTACCTCTTAGTAAATATCATCACATAACTGTCTTTGAGCACGTTACTTAACATTTCCGAGTCTTAGTTTCTTTGTCTATAAAATGGGAATAATAATTCTAACCTGACAGGGCTGCACATATTAAGTTTTTAAAAATGTATGTGTGTGTGTGTGTGTGTGTGCATGTGTGTGTGTACTACAACTGCTACCTTAGGGCCTGCCACTAAATAATAAATAATGCCACCTCACTTTCTAGTCTATGCCCCACCCCTGCCTTTCCTCCTAGATACTAAATCAGTCAAAGATGTCTCTGGGCAGAAGGCAATTCAACCCTCTCTTTCCTATGATTAGGAGTGGCTAAAAAGGAGAGGAAGCACTGGGCACGGTGGCTCATGCCTGTAATCCTAACACTTTGGGAGGCCGAGGCGGGGGGATCACCTGAGGTCAGGAGTTCAAGACCAGCCTGGCCAACTGGGTGAAACCCCATCTCTACTAAAAATACAAAAATTAGGCAGGCGTGGTGGTGAGCTCCTGTAATCCCAGCTACTCAGGAGGCTGAGGCAGGAGAATCGCTTGAACCTGTGAGGCAGAGGTTGCGGTGAGCCAAGACTGAACCATTGCACGCCAGCCTGGGAGATAACAGCGAGACTTCATCTCAAAAAAAAGAAAAAAAAGAGAGGAAGAAGGAAGTATGTAATCCTTAAGTGAATAAGAATTATTGTTAAAAATCTGCTTTGCACAGTTTGCTGCCCACATTTCCAAAGTCACTCACACTTATAGAGGAATCAGCCCTTGAAGTGAGAATTATGCTTTAGGGACAAATGTGTCCATCTTCCTATTCCTTTAAACATGCAAATGCCACCTAAGGAAGTGGCGATGTGGGTTTGCTCCATGTTACATTTCCAAGATGGGGAGGGAGGCTCCCATCTATCTGGGTCACAGAGAGCTGTCTCCTAACTCCTGTCTCACCTGTGTTTTGTGGAATGAGTGGAGACTCGATGGTTCCCCAGCGTGCAGCATGCTTCTTCCCAACCCATTTTTATTCTGCCTAGCCTAAAGTCAAACATTTTACATCCAGAGGCTGGGCATTATCAGTGAATGGGCTAACGCTAAGGGAGAGAAGGAGAGGCATTTGTGATAGCTGGCCTGGTGCTGTGTGCACAGGGAGAGTGACTAGGAGCCCTCAGTTTGGCCAGTTATCATCCACGTCCAGAGGGGAGGGTGGTGCTGCTTAATGTCCTCACCAGGCTATCATGGAGAGTAACAGTTCATTCTGTAATTTGACTTATGTTACCATAGTCGCTAGTTTTGACATAGTTTTAATACCTCCTTTGGCCAGTGCGGTGGCGCCTGCCTGTAATCCCACTGGATTACAGGAGTTTCAGACCAGCCTGGGCAACACTGATTAGTTTGGGGACCCCGTCTCTACAAAGAATACAAAAATTAGCTGGGCCTGGTGGCACGTGTCTGTGGTCCCAGCTACTTGAGGGGCTGAGGCAGGAGGATCATTTGAGCCCAGGAGGTGGAGGCTGCAGTGAGCCATTATCACACCATTGCATTCTAGTCTGGACAACAGAATGAGACCCTGTCTCAAACTAAAATTTCAAAAAAAAAAAATTTCTTTTTTAGACATATTCAGTGCTGATTCAATCACCGTGCTTCCTCAAACCCTCCCTGCCTGCTTGCTTTAGCCCCATTTCAATGTCATCACTGGCCATTGGTGTGTCATGCTGGTTGCCCCTTTTGAGGCATCTCTGATTCATACCTCGTATCTAGCGAGCATCCTCAACTCTGCTGATTCTAGCTCAGAAAAAGAAACCATGGATGTGGTCTCCAATCCAGTTGCCACTGCCCCAGTGCAGGGTCTCATTGTTCACTTTTAATGGAATGCATTCCAAACTCTCCTCCTTCTTTTTAACTCTCATCTACCTTTTAAGCTGCCCAAATCAGGTCACACCTCTTCCGCTTTCAAACTTCCAGCAGCTTTCCCCATATGTGAATTACATTCAAAATGACTCAGCACAGCATCCAGGGTCTTCGCAGTACCACTTGACTTTCCAAGCTCACGTCCTTGTCCTCACACACCTCCTCAGTCCCGTCCACCGAACCCTTCATTGGCCGCTGGGCCTGCTGTGCACTTCTGCATCTCAGTGCCTTTCGGGTGCTCCTCCTCTGCCAGGAGCACCTGTCACACTTTTCATACCTATCAAAATCCCACTGAAGTTCTGAGACCCAATTCAAACTTCAACTACTTGGTAAGGTTCCTTCTGCACACTCACCACAAACTTATTTTAAGTCAAATACATACCAGTTTCTTACTGTGAACGTTTGGTGGATTGTTAGTTCCTAAAGCATGTTTACATTGTCTCAAAAACCTCTCATAGGATGAATCCTCAAAAAACCTTTGTATTAATCATTTTAGAACTTGATCTTTTCTCTTTTTCGCCATTTCAAGATATTTACACTATACCCCGCAACCCCCCGTCTGTCTGAATTTTAATTATACCTTTTTAGCTTCAAAGAAAAAGTCATCAGAATCTTGGGAGTTTATTGTCAATTATGAACTTGATTTAAAGAGTAACTGGCCAGAATTTTCTTTCATATTACTAAGTCTCTCCATATTTCTGAGAACTTAAAGTATTTCTAAGTCTTAGGGGGAGTTAACGTGTTTGATATGGGATTTCCACTGCAACACACAAATGTTTTCTGCCTTAAAGAGAGCCAGTAAGGAAAGAAATCTATTGAAAACTTTCTCCCGCCTGCTTTTGAAACTACTGCCATCTGTGAATCTGGAAACTGGAAATTTCAGAAAGCATCTATACAGCTCAGCAGTTGTAGAAAAAGATAACAAAGATATCTGGAGGCCAGACAGCTTGTCAGCCTCAAATTTTAGAGTGGTACAGTCTAATCTTCATCATCAATCGTTTAAATAAACAAAAGGATAGAATCTTTGGAATAGATTTATAATTCAGTTAATATTAATGAAGGCCTCACAGGGTTCACTGAATTATATTAGCCAGTGAAATTGTTACCTGAAAAATCCTACAAGAAATTAAAGTCCAGTACGTGCAAAAATTGGGATTGCCGTAAAGGAAAAAATAGTGGGTAAATACATGAAATATACAAGAATCCTTCCCGGTGCACGTCTGTAAAGTATATCTTTGATGTATCTTGTCTACTGTTACAGTGATGCCAGAGACTTAGCACTTAGCACGGTACCAGTAAGTAAAATCAAACAAAGATTTCTTTCGGATGAGAAAGCACAAACACCCATTCATAAAACCATTGGTAAGCATTTTTTTTTTTTTAATCAACACTGTCATTGTCACAGCCTGCTTGATCTTCCTACTTTGGGTTAATATGGAAGCCAATTACAGCTTCATCTGTGTAGAATTAACTTTATGGAGCACACACCGGGGATTTGTCTATCTTCACTATTTAGATATATGCCATAAAAATATGCATGGAACGCAGTGCAAGCACTGCAGATGGCAGAGACTTTCAGATTTATTGTAAAATCATTTAAAATCGGTTATGCTCTCGCCAGAAGTTAATTAATTTTTTTTGTTCTTTTCTGGGGCTGGGGGGCTGGGTTGGGGGGGCTGTGTCTCACTAGGTGGCAGTGTATGATTACATCTGGAAAAGCCATGGCATCAAGTCCAGTGTCTCCAGCTGTGACCTCCAACATCAAAATGAAATTTCTGTGTCTGCACTTGGTCCAGGAGATATTACTTCTCATGTATCTGTATATACCATTTATCCCAGTGGGTTGCAAGAGCTGTACCGCCATTTTCTCAGACTCCCTGATGGGGCCATTGTTGAGGTATGTATATATGAAAATATCTGATGCAAATGCTGGGTAGTGCTTGAATTTTGTAGTGCTTGAATGTGCATATCCATAAATATATATATATGTGTGTGTGTGTGTGAGCATGTGTGCATATGTATATATGTATACGTGAGCTTCAATATTACCTTACAGACATATCATAACTTATGTTTTTAACATATGGTGGGCTTGAAGATGTGTTTTAGTTTTTGCCTAAACAAAGGCACCACATAGGAAAAAAAAAAAGTTTCTGTGCATAACTATGTCCGAGAGAGGCAAGAAACAAATCAAGTTAAATAATTGAGGATTCTGACTGCAATAACTTTTACCCAATGTTTGTAAACATTAGCAGGTTGGTGAATAATAGTTCTAGGAGTTCACAAACACCTCCATGCCTCAGGAATTTCACAGTCTTTCCCTTAAATGATCTCGCACAAAATAAATCAGATGGTAGCATTTCATTGTGTTTTCCCTGTGAGAAAAATCTTAAAAATAAATAACTGTGCCCCATCAAGTAGCGTTTGGCAAAGATCTTGATGTTATGTTTTCTCCTAAGAAGTCAGGATCTTTCAGTGGGCTGACTTTGAGTTTTTAAAAAAATCTCTTGCAATCCATCATATTCTCTGAATCCAAATTCATGGTCTGTCCCGTTAGCATCACCCTCGAATCGTGAATCCTGAAGGAGTGTTATTATTTGGTGGAAATAAAGAGTGGTGGAGAAGGAACATTAAGATACATAGAGCATTTGGTTCCCTAGTCCTGTTGGCATACAAACATCACTTAACAGTGGCGCAATACTGGTTGATTAGAATTGGAAGAATATTTGAATATTCTATTGAATATTAGAATATTGGAATTCTAATATTCCCAGCACATTTTCCCTTTGAACCTTAGCCATTGTTGTTTTTGTTACTAAGTTGATGAAAGTGTGTCCTCCTAAAACAGCCTTTTCAATATAACCTTCAAGCAATTTCAAACTGTTTAGCACCCAGTCTTGTGAAACACCCGGATTGGGAGTTTCTTCCTCCTGCTATCACAGCCCACAACATTGCTTGGGTACTTGAGTGAGTCACATACACTCTACTCAGAAAAGCACAGAAGTGGGGAAACGATATCCCATCAGCTGGCTCTCCTCTCCCCCGACCAAGATGTAGTATGAGAGGGAATTGCCTATATTGTAGCAAAGCAGCAGGTAAGCAGATTGTAACAGTATCCAATGTAAGACTTCAGGAGTTTGGGTCACAGGCTGCTATTGCCACTTTTGCATGTAATCCTTTTCAGATTTCTGAAACATTTGCTTAGGTAATCTCTTTGCAGAACAAAACTGCCAAGGATACATTTTTAAAACAATTTGCATAGGCGTGTGCTAAAATGTGTGTGTACACCACGCACTGAAATAACAGGAAAAGAAGAGGCATCAGGGTGGTCTGCCTTTCTGCTACAAAATATCTTGTAGATCCTAGAGCCTTGGGGCCCGAATAGAAAGCCCAGGTGTAAGACAGTTGCAGTCCCCTGAACAGAGCGATCACCACCACCCTTCGATTCACTCACTTCTTCATTTACTCCATAACCTTGGCTGAGTCATTTCCCACTGCTCTGCCTATTTCCTTATCTGTGGAACTGGGTTATGAATACTCATACTACCTGGCTCATAGGGATTTGGGGCAGATTAATGAGATAACATCTGCAAAGTACTTTTAGCTGTTAAAAAAAAAAAGTGCAATAAAGATTGCAAAGTATTACAAATCATGCACAATTAAATCCACTGAACTTGTAAATATTTGTTCAAGTACTAATAGTAACATTATGCTAAAAATAAAATAAACTCACTTCTGGAAGAACTGAGCAGTGGAGCAACAGGTGTTATTGACCCGTCTGACTCTTTTATTGCCAGTGTTTTCCACACCATTGCCTTATATGATGGTAATGGTGGAAGAACAGCTGGGCATTGGTAGGAGCCTGTGCTCAACTGAAATTCCAGCAGGCATTCAACTGGCTTTACTTTATCTGTCCCCTGCTCTGTGAAACCTATGAAGTGCACTTTCAAATTGGTGTAACCAGTTTGTACCTTCTGTAGCACTTGTCACAATATTATATTTTATTCTTCAGCCTTTCCAAACTTGTTTCCAGTGTTACATTGTGTCTCTTAGAGGGTGGGAACCATAAAACAATACCAGTCCCAGAGCAAATGGAGAATTAGACAAATTTTCTTATCTGTCTGGCTATTCCCCAATCTTCCTGCTTTCCTTTTGCTCTTTCTTAATCTCTGAAAGGTTCTGCCAGGCTTATTCCTGGGCTTTCCAGCTACAAAACTTAACATTGGAAGGGGTTTAAAACTGGTCTTTTGCAACCTCAGTGAGAAAACCCATTCTGTTATCTTTCCCCAAATGTGTGCATTGTAAAGAAATATCAAATACCAGCAAATGGGTAGATGGTATTTTCTGGATTAAAGAAATATCCCTTAATTTTTTAAAATGATGGTTTATAAGCAGTCACCTACTTGCCCAAAAGCTACCTTCAATCATTGAATTTCCTTTCTCTGTACTTTGTATGTAGTTGGTACTTAAAGATATCTATTGAATTGCATTGAATTTCTGGATTCCAATTTACGCTACATAATAGACACCGGAAGATATTTACCATCGATGCCACGGTGAATTAAGTGACCTAGAATTAGGAAATGACTTAGAGGTATTTAAAAATACCTGTAAGACTGATGCCATATTTCGGTAGGATATTCTGATAATGGAAGAAGTAGGTAGCTGTGTCTGGGCCTAATTTCTTTACAAATTAGATATGGCAATAAATATGAAACAAAAATGAATGAGGTTTTGCTTCACCCTTATAACCTGAACTCTATTCTTGAAGGCTTTATGGTGGTTTTTAAATAGGGTACCTAGTTCTCTAAGTTCCTTTTGCATTTAACACAGCTCTAACTTGGAACTAGAGTGATTTTTAAGACTTTCCTACTTCTGATATGAAATATAGGTCATATATTCACATTTTCTATGTTTTTTTCCTCAGTAAACACCTAGCATTTTGGATTTGGAGCAAATTATTTTCAAGTTTAATTTGCGTAGACAACTATGCTTTTGCAAAAGAATAATTCCTGCACAAAAGAGGTCAGATTTCGTTTGTCTGAAATAGAAATCACATTACAAGCAATATTTCCTACAGATATGTGTTCATAATGTTTTTCATCCAGGCTTGTGACCTAAGAAGATACAACTTTTACCGTGTTCTACATATTTTGCTTTGTAAAATATCCCCTCCACCGTTTGTCAGAGATGGTCGTTGGACGACCAAGCAGTGAGCGCCTCTCTTTAATTCTATTTTTATCAGCCTTTCTGGGCTCCATGGATTCCAACTCCTCTCCACAGAGCAATGCTTTGTCCCTTTG